ATATATATTTTTTGTCACATTGGCCTCACTATCAATTTCTTGAATTTATATCAGCATGTATGTTGAGATTGATCCAAGGGTGGCTGATTTTTTTTTGTTCATCGTTAGCATCAGCATAGGGTAGTGAGGAAGATAATAAATGCATCATTCCCTTGGCTATGATTGCAATTATCTGTAATAATTATTTTTGCTAACTGATTTAAAGTCATATCATGAGTAATATCATTAATCTGTTTGGAATGAAAGAGCAAAATTACAAGCTCAAATATTCTTTAAAGAAAAATTATTTAGTTTGAATTCAAAATATCTCCCAAAAGTATTAATTTTTGTTCAAAAAGAAATATTTTAAAATGATTTCATTTGAGTTCAACAAATCTTTCTAATTATTAAATTTGGGTTCAAGAAATATGTCAAAATTATGTAATTTGAATTCAACAAATATCCCAAATTATTAAATTTGGTCTTTTGATCGTCAAACGCACTTACCGTTGTAGGGAGACGACGGGATGCAGGTTCTTTTGAGTTTTGTTATTTTGATTATAAATGGATGTATATGTAAAATTTTTGAGAGAGTTAGATTGTTTGGATCCCTTCTCTTGGAAGAAATCTCTATGTACATGTTTCTTTTGAAAGATGAATGAAAAATAAAAGCTTTACTTGGATTTACTTTAGTGGCTCTTTCATTATATAGTTGAAGATGATTTGATGTTATGCTTTGAAGGCTTATTTTCATGCTGTCTGACCTCTGTTCCCGCCTCGCCTATGCGAGCTTACCGGGCCGGGTCGTGACAATAATATCATGTGAGATATTTTCAAACTTTTTGTATGCATCAACTTCCACCTCATTTGATTTCATGGGACTTTTTCACATCTCTATGTTTTATGTTTATTGCATTAACTATCAAATTTGGCTAGTTCTTAATATATTCCATAAGGAACAAAAGATTAAGAAACTTCATCTGATTTGTCCAAGGTACAACTCCAAAAGCAAGAATACTTTTACTAAGCAAAATTATAAATTGATGAGTGTTGCATTGATTTTTTTTCTTATAATACTTCCTTGGCGTGCTTGTAATTTTATTATTTATTTCTTTTTTTATTTAATTCTTTTTGACATAATCTCTTTTTTTTTTAATCAAGTTCATATTCAATAATTTTGACAGATTATTATGTTCAAATTTTCTCAGTAAAATTTTTGGCATTATTCCGGCGTCTCCCCCGCATTGGGGGTATCTATAGGAATTCTAGGTCTAGCCACCACGAGCAATAAATCCATATATAGTTGGTGTCCATTTACGTAGACACCGCGGCCGTAATCTTCAGTCCCACCATGCGTAATAAAGGCGTGTATGGGGTCCTTGAATGTACCTATTTGAAAGCACAATTATTTCTCCTCGTACGGGTACTTATAAGTAACCCCGCTTCGCCGTAAGCGTCGCACCGGGCTTCCATCCCACAACGCGCAATAAACACGTGTATAGGCGGTTGTCCGGTGCGTTGCGAACGTCGAAGACGTGATTTGAGCTTTAAGTTTGACGAATAATATATCCTGACAAGCAAGTAAGATGATGAAAAGCAAGTAAGACGACGATGACAGAGATTTGCGGCGAGGCTGGAAAGTTTTATTACTTTTATTTTCTGATTTTTTTTTTGTTTTATATATATATATATAAATAGAGAGAGGAAGGTTAAGAGAGTTTGGTGGCTTTTATATGAACAGACAAGTGGTGAAGTTGGGATTGGAGGAGTTGTAAATATGAAGATCTAGTGGAGTGGGCTTGTGGATTGATGACTGGTGGAGTTAATGAGAGGTTGAGGGCTGTATAGATGTGAGAACGAATGGAAGGGAGTAAGAGCTGCTATATGAATCGGCTGTTTGTATGTAATGATTGGAGGGATAAAGCATAGAATAGTAGGCATGTAGAGAAGTAGAAGAGGGGGAAGGTTTGGCAAGGTGGAGCTCGAGCTGCTGTTGGAGGAGAAGCTGAGACTTGAAAAAGCTTGTGAACAGGAGCGAAGTGATGGATAGATGCGTGAACTAGAGAATGAGATAGAGACTTGGGTTGTATTATTCTTGATTTTATTTTTTAGCAGAATAAGGCGGTTGAGAACATGCATCAGGACGCATAAGTATACAGAATGGCTTGTATGCGACAGATAAAATCAACCTTTGTGGAAGGAATGAGCTCATCATTTTTTTTATTATTATGATTATCCCTTAGACATACATAGGCGGTGCAAAGCAAGGGCAAGAGAGACGTTTATTTGAGAGCATACACATGTCAGAATTTGACTTTATATTCATTTGAAATTATGCACTTACCCTTATTTTAAAGATAATGAATAAAGACTTTGTACTTATATATTAGCAAAAGTTAGAATAAAAAGCTCACAGAATTTTATATCTAATGATTATATAAAACAAAATTATAATATTTTAATAATTATATGATTACATAAATATATCATGAAAATATAGATAATTACATATTAATAAAACATAAAAATATATGTGCAGAATTTAGGTTTATATTTAAATTAAAAAGATAAAATAAATTTTAATATTATATTATATTTTATTATTTATATCTATTTATTATTCTTTATTACTATTATTTATTATTATTTATTTATCTTCTTCTTTTTTATACTTAATTTGTGTGTTGTCATCGCCTCATACGTCATCAAGTTTTACATTTTTGCTTGTGCAAGATCCATGCAGTATAAGTCATTTTCTAGTATGTTTGACATTCTGAAGCTAACAAAGATATTCATTTTGCAAACAGACGACATTTGGGCAACGTCACATATGTCCGTAGTCAGTCAATTTTGATCGCTTTCGTTCAGTTTGATTGTGAGGGATCCCTCTTTGATTAAATTCGATGCTCTAAACTCATCGACGAAGCCTGTTTAACAAGTGTAAGCTATTGGATAGTTTTTGCTAGCATCGCATCCACTAACACATTGGCGCATACGAACAACTTCTTGTTGGTATATTGGATGTCCGGAATGCATCGATATGAACCATTTGGTAATCGGACAAAGTTTTAAATCTTTGCATTATGATCAAGACACTCCTATCTTCGTTATCAATGATGTATTGTTTACCAATAATAATCGATCATCGCATATGTTGCTTGCATTGATCGTTGTACATATGTAGAGGTTAACATTTGTGATTTGAAAGCTAGAACAAGGAGAAATTTAAAAGTTTTATTGTGCATTCATGAGTTAGTCTATATGAAAAGGAATATAAATTTTAAAATGGTAAGTTTGGTGCATTGCTATACTCCTTTCTCTCTCTCTCTCTCTCTACCTACTCTTCTTTCTCTTTCCCTCTCTATTTTTCTTCCATCACCTGTATACAAGCTTTAAAACTTGTAAAACATTCCTCAAATTACGAAAGTAAAAAAAGAAGCACGAAGAAAGGTGACTATGCATTTTCTTTTAAAATTAAATTTGCATTTATTATTTCCCAGTAATAACTTCTAACCACTATTTCTATTATTTGTTTGCATAAACTGTCAGGGATGGTGATGATCAAATGAGCAAAAGAACCTAAGGGGGTCAGTAGCCTTCATTGCTACCACATAGAGGTGCTACAGGCGAATACCACCAAACGTTTGCTTTAGTGTAGTGAGTATTCTTGAACTTAGATGGCCCTAGGATTTATAAGCCAATGATTGTATGATTCTCCAACCTTAGGGCCCTATTGAAACATTTGTTTTTTTACTTTACTATACAATCTTCAATTTTATTCAATTTGCAAAAAAATATTATTTTTGGTAATTAGAACCCAAACTCAATCGGTTGTATGTTTGGCGTCTACGTTAGTTTTAGGGGTATTTTAGATCTGATTTTCTAAACTTATTGCATATCCCAATATAGTTTGCAAATGTAGGAAACTTTCAATATTGTAAGATTTATCTATTTAATATTTTAAATCATGATATAATACTTATAAATCCATATAAAATCAAATTTTAATTATCATATGGTAAAAAGATAATTTGTAATTAACTAATTAATTAACCCATAAATTAATCGAAATAATCAAATATCTAAATTAAAAATTGAACTAAAAATAATATAAAAATAAATAAATTATCTTAAAATATATTATTAAGTAAACTAAAATATAACAATAATGAAAACACACTCATCTTAACTATTTTTTTAGGTCTAACATACTTATTAGAAATATCACTTTTCCAAGTTATTTTGATTTTAAAATCATTGTAGAATATTGTATCAGCCTCTCAAGACAGTACTTTATTTTTAATACAGTATTCGATTACAAAATAGGAACACTAAATCTGTGTTGCATTTATTTTCCCCACAAAATATTTGTCTAAAAATAGTCTTTAGCTTGTATACTTAAGATGAATTATAATACTACAGATAAATGGCCCAAATTAAAAACATTCTAATGAAGTGATAGTTATTGACCCTACAAGGGCATTAGCTCTCTAGTAAGAGGAATGAAAGGTCCCAAGGCATAAACTAATAAGTATATTAGATCTAAAAATAATTACCATCTTATTCATTTTCCTCTTCTTTGGGCTAGTCACAATCAATATTTTGGTGAGCCATTCTTACAAGTGTGAATGACATCAATTGCAAATCAATGTTGTAACTATTGATCTCCCCATGATAGTTTTTATAGCTACTAAAAAATCAGGCTTTCGCAACACTTTTTATGGCCTACGACAGCGGTTTAAACACCCGCTAATTTATTTGCAGCGGTTTAAAAACCGCTGCACATCCGCTGTATTTGCTTTCGCTGGAAAGGCTTTAGCAGCGGTTTCATAAATGCTGCTGTAGGAGGGCATTAGCAGCGCTTTTAATAGGGGTTAAAACCGCTGCTAAAATGCAGCATAGATTAAAAAAAATATATAATGCCAAAAAATTGAATTTTGTGATCAAATTACAAATTCACATAAAATAATATACAAATACAAATTTAGTGAATATAAACAACAACAACAAAAAACTAAACCTCAGTCAAACTTAGCTTTGTTTGTATGAATTAAAAGGAATATACTAATCACATTCAAAACAAGTATTTTGGAATTCATACAATAGTCTTCTGGATTAAGAATAACCAGATAAGACTTTTAAAGATGCAAATGAATTTGAAAAACTAAAAGTGAAGCTTGTCATTAAACTTTTGGATTAAACTTGACAAATGATATTGGCCATAAATCAACTGTCCCGGGAGGAGCTGCTCCATGAAATGAACCCAACTCTGAGGGCTCATAATCAGAATTATGATCTTCTCTGCATTCTTTACACGATCACGATATTTTGGTGCTTCAAGTGGTTCTTGTTTCTACTCTCTGTTAATCAAAGGAAAAAAGTTTATGCATGTTAGATAAATAACAAAAAGACAATCAAGAACGAAATTTAAATGGGGTGGAAGCTAAAGAATGCAAGCAGATGAAAGCAAATTTGAACTGAGCAACGTATGTTGTTCAATGCACATTTTGCAATAGGCGCAGGATTTTTGGTGGACATGGAGTCAACATAATGCGATCCATATCTTCCATTTTTTAGATTAAAGTCATGCTACTGGCAACAGAGAAAATTTTTATTTATCTTGCCAACAAATAAGTTAAAAAAACAATATTTTGGGTAAGCAGTTCATTACACAGTTAAAATGAGTAATAAATTGAATATCCTAAATACATTATGATGTATTAATTCAAGATGGTGAGTGGATTCTCTTGCATTGAAATATAAACTGAATGTAGGATGAACATCAAGCAAGAACCTACAAATATCTTAAAAGCAAAAGAAGAATTAAAGCAAACAAAATGTTCCTTAAGTACAAACTTGAAGCAGAATAATAATCTATTAGAATTAAAGAAAAAAACAAAGAATTTCCTAGAGTTTAAATGAAACAAAGTAATATTACACTTTCTTAACAATATAAGCATTGATCACTAATATCTGGTTATAGAAACAAAACCAGAAGTGGATCAAGAAAAAATTACCTTTAGTTGAAATCATCACTAGAGAAGAAGAAGAAGACCTGAATACTGGACCTTATCAAGCACCAAAGAAATAACATATTTCTTCATTCTTCTTATTCTCATTGCAACACTGATCCATGAGTTTACATCACTTGGCTCCAGCAAATATATAACACTCCTGGAATCTGTGTTCCTTAATAGTTCACATCCAGCAGATAACACTGTGGAACTCCTCTGGATTTTATTGCCCAATCTTCAGAACATGTTCTGCCACTAGAAGCATCTCAAAGCTTCAGGAATTATGCTTTTTTGCAATCATCAACCAAAATGAAATTTTTCTGAATGTACTGAGTGATGTGAGCACTATATATATGTGATTGAATTCGACAAGTTTCCGATTTATTTCCAAAGAAAACTGAGAGATCCAGTAATGAAATTGTTGTTTTATACCGGATTTTATGTTTTTAAGGGATGCAAATTATTATTTTTATTTATTCCAGAATATTTTCTGTTTTTTTATTGTTGTTGTTGTTTTGTTTCTTCCTTAATAAGTTGATCCTACTTGTAAAATAGTTACCCTAGTAATCCAAACAACAATAAACGATAAGCTGATCTTACTTTAAAAAATACTGCAGCTTAAATGAGGAAGAGGAACAAAATCTAATCCATAGCTGCCCTAGTAATCCAAACAACAAAAAACAATAACGAGGCATTGTCTGCTCCGCAGGGAATAAAAAAGATTGAGAGAGAGATAGAGAGAAGGGATTCTGACCCGATTTTGGTAGATTTTTTTTTCCGCTATAGACTGGAGTCGTGGAAGAAAGGCCGACCTGCTCTCACCACTAAAGTTGATGTTTGCCAATGAAGTTGCTTTCCTTCAACTGCTCCGCAGCAAGCACCACCATAAACTTACAACAACAAATTGCAAAGAAAGAACCAAAGAAAATGAACAAGAAAAAGACACAAACCTGAAGCATTGGCAAATATCCCAACGGAAAATCAAAAAAAAAAAAAAAGAAGAAGAAGAAGAAGAAAAAAACGAAAGAAAGAGGGAAAGAGGGAAGGAGAAGAAAGAAGGAACTGGTTACCTGTTTGAGAGAGGAGGCCGATTCAAATAGTTTCGTCGGGCTCGAGTCGCTAAAAACAGAGGGGCAACGGGAGGGCTTCGGCTCTTCATATGGCGTGCGAAGGAGGAGGAAGCAAAGGGTTCGGCTAGGGCTGGGTATGGCGACGAGTTCGGCTACGGCAGTGGGGGTCTTTGGTTTGCTTGCGTGCGTGAGGAGGCGAAGGAAAGCTAGGTTAAAATTGTTGTTTTAAAACCGCTATGCCCGTGATTTGATGAAAATTTGGCAGCGGTAAAAACTGATGTTTATATCCGCTATAGCAGCGGTTTTAAAACCGCTGTTATTATTCTGCTGTTGAAGCATCAAATTTTTAGTAGTTTCATAATATTATGTTAACACAAATTTTACTTGACTGAAAAAGGGTGTTATCTTGCACTATATTTTAAGGTGGTGAAAATTGTTCAAGTGATCAATGCTTCATTATTTTTCTTTTTATATTCTCCACCTCAATAAAATAATTTAAGTCCCCATTCTTATATTTTTAAGGGGTTGTTTAGGATTGCTTCTTTTTTTTGGATTTTTTTTTTTGAAATGAAACAAAACATGTTTAATATCTAAGAAAATATTATTCTTATATTCTTATTTTTTTTTTGACATATCAAATAAGTTGACTTAAGTTCCACTTGGGATAAATGCAATATTTTATAAAGTTGATTGTGAAGATTGTGAAGTTATAGTGAGGAAAACAACCTTTTTTTCAAAGTTATTTTAGTATTATAAAAGTTTTTTTTTTTTTTTTTAAAGTTAGACAATTTTTTCTTATAACTACATTACATTAGCAAATTTAGTTGTAAAAAGTAATTCCTACCATGAAATTTTCTAAGAACTGGCAAGAAAATAATAACCAAATAACAAATGTAAAGTTGCGAGAAAGTTAACACAAATAGACTCTTAGCTAATGATGGTGGTGGTCGTCAATAGGATAGTAGCTACAATAGGTGTGACCAAGATGACAATCATGGTGGTCTTTATGATAGTTATTTTTAAAAATGCTCAAAAAGTCCCAAAACTATTTTGATTGTTTTTAAAAAATAGCTTAATTTAAAAGATAAAAATAATAAAAGATTATGCTAAATAAACATATTTAAAAAAAAACAAAGCTAAACAAATACCTTAATAGAAAATTAAAGTTTCAAAATTCCACAGGAACCAAAGAGATGGAAGGCTTGGAAAGATACAGAGGAATGGCCCCCCGACCCTAATTGTTGCAGTAACCAACAAAGCGCTCCATGAACGCCTCCGCTTTCTTGTTCCCCGGGTACGACAAAAAGAAACCATGATTCTCCCCTTCCGCCACAACGAGCTCAATGGCACCTCCCCACCCACTCTCCTTCACCTTCTCGGTGTAAACTCTAGCTCTATCCAAAAGCAAATCCTTCTCTCCAACGGTCACCAGCACTCTCCCGCAACCCAACCCCGCCAAACTCATCGCACCTTCCGCCCATGGATTCAACATCGGGTCATCGTTCCCAGCAATCGACTCCGGGCACAGAAATGGCCACAGGCCATCAGCAACCTCTGCCTTTATCGTGACCCCTTCCCTTTCCTCCCCTTCCCAACCAATCCTTTCCTTCCCCCAAAAGAAAGGGTTCATGAGCACCATACCCTCCACCTTCTTCCCCTCTTTTCCCAATCTCATCCCCAAATTATGCACTATGTTCGCCCCGGCGCTGTCGCCGGCTAAGAAGATCTTGTCCAAGTCGCCGAATTTGGAGAGCCAAGCTTCCGAGTGTTGAAGTTGAGCCACCCACCGAAGCGCCTCCCAGGAGTCATCGTAAGCCGCGGGGATGGGGTGTTCGGGAGCCAGGCGGTAGTCGATGGACACGGCGAGTATTTTGGCTTTCGCTGTGAGGTGGTTGAGGTAGTTGTGGTAGTGGGCGGAGGCGGCGCGATGGACGCAGAACCCGCCGCCGTGGTAAAAGATAACGACTGGGAGCTTGCCGTCCATTTTGGTGGTTGAAGATGGAAGGTAGAGACGGGCAGCGAGGTCAGTGGAAGGATTGATAGTGATGTCCTTGGAGTCAACACCAGTGGTTTGGTCGAATGACGGGGGAAGGAATTCCGTGGGTTCGAAGCGCTCGACGCGCCCGCTGCGGTAAACTCGGATTAAGGTGAGCAAGTCGAAGATTATGTCATCGTCGCCAGCGGCGGTAGCGGTGGCGCTTTCAGAGCTCATAGTTGGGTTTGGAGAGAAAAGACGGGTAAGTTTGTGACTTCTTCTTTGAGCTGTGGAGGCTCTAACTTCTTTGAGCTGTGGAGACTATAACAAAATTGGAGAGTATTTTCTGTTCAAATTTGACGGATTTACATACATGGCATGAAATTTCTTATATTTACATATCTACTAATATTTAGAATTATTTATTTATGAAAAACTCTCTAATACTTAAAAAAGTAGTTCTCGCCGTCATTTAGGACACCATTTTGGCTGTTACCGGTTGCAACTTGGGTGATGTCGCCGTCGATGGCGGCAGCATCTAACAGCTAGCGGCCACTATTTCGTCTTCTAGCTAAGCTGATGTAATGACTAACTAAAAAAAAAAAATCCGGTTTAGAGGTGCAACCGAAGATTCGAGTTTATTGAGCTCGTAAGTCGAGCTCGAACTCAATTTCGAGCTTGTAGGCTTAACGAGCCCGAGTTCTAACACTCCATTGTTCGACTCGAGAGCTCGTCGAGTAGCTCGCGTAAGAGAAGACGACGCAGGTGAGAACGTGATTCATAGGCTAGAGCAGGATTTGTAGGCGGGAGCAGGACTCGGGAATCAGATTTCGTAGGTGGGAGGAAGCGGGATTCGCAGGCGGGAGCAAGATTCAGGAATCAGATTTCGTAGGCGGGAGCGGGATTCGCAACGGGAGCGGGCTTCGACGGGACAACGGAGCTCACGGCTTGGGAGGACGACCTTGCGGCTTCGACGACGAGGCGACGGCGGGATTCGCAAACGACTCAGGTCAGGAAGGAGCTCGACGATCCGCTCGCCTCGATTCTTTTCGTGAGATGAGTCGAGCTCGAGCTCGACTCAACTCGATTGCACCCCTAATCCGGTTTAACCAAACTTGGAGTAGAAACTGCTTTAGCATTTTGCATGCCTGCACGTGTAAGAATCATTTGGGCATTCTGCTATTGATTCAAGTGCAGTCTATAAGTAGTGTAAGGTAACTTGGATGCGGATGAAATGTGATAAAGATCCAAGATTTCGAATTGAAAACTTTGCTTGCAAGTTCTCAAGTAAATTAGTCAAAGCATGTTGATCATTGCTTGCTAACAAAATATCATTCAAATAAATTAGAATGAACATAAAAAATGCATAGGAATAATAAATTAGTAACGAAGGTTCAGCTGCACTAAATCTAAAGCCAAAAAATTTGTAAATGACCCGAGAGAGTGGCATACTAATGACGTGGGGACTGTTTGAGACCATAAAGGATTTTCTTCAGCCGACATACATGATTGCGATGGAGAGAGTCTTGAAACCCCTGAGATTGTTGAATATACAGTGTTTTAAACAAAGATCCTTGAAGAAATACATAAGACACGTGATCAACATTCAAATTGTACATTGCCTTAAAATCATCCATCGGATCATTGTTGTTGCCAGCACCAAACACTATTTGTAAGCCAACAACGATGATTATTGTCACCATTACATGAAACTAGCCATTACCTAATATTAATCTTCAATCAATATTGATGTCTGGCTTTGATATATCCAAACATTATTGATTACCAATATCAAAGCATACACTTGTGACCATCATATATTTTTTTCCCGAGCAACATTGATATCAACCAACATCGCCGCCATCTTAAAATGTTTATCAACCAACATCGATGTCCATTGTTACTCAGTGTGAATGAGCTCGAAGGGTGCAGTGGTAACCGTAATTCTTTTATTAAAGACTAATTTGTGGCTCTTGGCCTGGTTACAAGAATTGCATATAAAAGAACGGTGTACAGTGTGAATTTCAAGAAACAGTCTAGAAAGAAGAAGATGAGTGTCTTTGTTCGGATGGCAAAGGCGCGAATGCTAGTAGTTCGGGGCGGTGGTGGTGACCGTGAGAGCAGTGTTCTTGTGTGCCGGTGCTGCACTAATGTGGTAGGGACCGCTACGAAGTTGTCCATGAAGAAGTGGACGGTGGTCTCGTGAGTCCTTGATGACAAAACCGTTAGTATCGAAAGAAATGGAAACATAATTATATGTAGTAAGTTTTGAAACGGACAGGAGGTTGTGAGTAAGAGAAGGAACGTGTAGTAGATTGTTAAGTTTTAACTTACGAGCGGTGTCCGGCAAAGGAAGAAGACCTTGACCGGTACTGTTGACGAGAAGGGAGTTACCGTTGGCAGTTGAGACCGTGTCCGAGCCTTGGTAAGCCGTCGGGTACTAGAGCTGATTGGCGTCCGTAGTGAGGTGGGAGGATGCCCCGAAGTCAAGAATCCAGTATTGACTGACAGGGGCTGCCGGATTTGCAAACAGAGCCCGTGGTTGGCGTGTGTCGGTCGGAGCATACTTGGGGTTGTTGCGGTGCCAACAGTTGAGGGCGATGTGTCCGATTTTGCTGCAAATTTGACAGATTGGCCTTGACGACGATTGCGGAGTAGATGTGGCTGGCGGTTACAGGAGCAGGTTGAGAAGATTGTTGGTTCTTCGGTTTGGTCGGGCGTCTGTAGTTGTTATTGCGATTGCGAAACGAATTGGGCGGGGCGGCATAGAGAGCCGCGGGATTGGTGTTGCCATTCAGTTCTTGAAGATTTTCTTGTTGGAGATGAATTTCTTCATTACACAGAAGAGCATAAAATGTGTCAATATTGATAGGCAGAAGTGAATTTCGGATGGTCGATTTGAAGGAATTGTACGTTGGGGGAAGGCTGGTAAGAATGTGTAGCATAACGTCTTCTGATTCGATCTTGGCGCCAGATGCGGAGATGTTTTCCACGATTTGCTTGCTGCGGGTGAGGTACTGTTGAACAGAGAGGTCCTTCATTTGGGTGCGATAGAGCTCGTTCTTGAGCTGGATCACCCGGGAGCGACTCGTTGGTTGAAGTCGCCACTCAAGAACCGTCCAGGCCTCGTGGGCAGTGGAGGACGTGATGATGTAGGGTAAGATGGATTGGGATACCGTAGAGAAGAGTGCGGAGAGGAGGTTGCTATCGACTAGAAGCCATTGAGCGTAATCAACTGAGGCGGTGTCAAGGGGCAGTTGGACGGATCCAAGAAGATGTCCGGCAAAGCCGTTCGCAGTGAATTGTTGTAGCAGCTGAACCCGCCAGATGGGGTAGTTCTCCAGTGTGAGATGATGAGGGGCAAGGTTCTTGATATTGGAGACAAGAAACTTGAGGTTAGGCGGTATGCCGGCGGTCGTGCCAGTTATGCCAGTTTGGGTGGAGGAAGAGGAGGAGGAGGGAGGAGGCAAGGGATCCATGGGTTCTTGATCTTCCTAATTGGCTCTAATACCATGAGAGCAGAGCCAGAGAAGAAGGATAATAGAAGTGCCCAGAGAAAACGGAAAGAAGAAAATATTATTTCATATCTGTCTAGAGGCTGATACAGTGACATTTAAATAGACTAAACTAATGTTAAGGTTGTAAATACAAGTAACTGCCGAAGTACATTGCTGTATATGTTATTAGTTACCACCATGAGAGACTGTTAGTCGGCAATTCTTGATGCAGGCTATCTCCATATCTAGATGTTGCCCCTTTGTCTTATATGTTTATTTCTAATAGAAAATTTAAACCTATATAAAAATCATAGTTTTATATCATCCCCGATCGAAGATTTGGCTCCATCGCTTACAGTTTTATGTCAATATTTTTTTTGATTGTTTTCAAGAATTTTTGTAACATAAATAAAATATCAATTGATTCTTTACTTAAACTTATATCGATATAAATTCAACATATTTTAATTTGCCCTTTTAAAATATTTTCACCAACCTTTTTTTTGTATCCACGAAGAGGTAAATGCGACATCGAACCAATTCATATTATTTTCATTAAAAAAAAAAAAGAATTTACAGTGCCGAGTCGTAGGATTCGTTGACTGAGAAGCCCACAAACATTCAATCGAGTATACTTAACGCTAAACTCTTCCAACCTAATTTACTATTAACTTTCAAACTTCCAAAATCCAAAAAGAATTTACCGTTTCAAGAAAAATATTTATGATTAACAGTCAAAATGCATTTTTATATGAACACAAATACATATATATATATATATATTTTGGGACTATATGCTTCTTCTTCTTTTTTAAATGATGGATAAGTTTTGTTGCGGGCTAGAATATGCGCGGCGATGGAGTTTTAATTCTACGTCTTAGCGTTGTACGGATATCCAGCTCATATATAGAGAGAGCACAAGAATTTTTACGTGGAAAACCCTAGAAAAGAGAAAAACCACGGGGTCTGGTCCAGTTAAAAATGATTCCACTAAAACTTAAGCAGGTTACAGTGGGCTGACTTGTCTTTGAGGGTGATCAAATTACAAATATCAACCGTGTGGTTGAAATCTAGCGACTAAAGAGGATGAAGGCCCAGTGCCACTTGGTGGACAGGCAGAAGTCCGGTGCTACTTGAATGTTCGGGCGTTAGTTGGTAGCCTGGCAGTTGGTTGAGAAAACTTCAACGTCGGGTCGTGGTCAAGTAGAAGTTCGGCATCAGATGATAGTCCTGTGGAACTCCGGGTCAAGTGATGATCCGATAGAACTTCAGGCTTCAAATGGAGGTCCGGCAATTCTTGATGCACGCTATCTCCATATCTAGATGTTGCCCCTTTGTCTTATATGTTTATTTCAAATAGAAAATTTTAAACCTGATACGTCCTCCAAAAATTGTCTTGATCGGTCATGAATCTTGATGCAAAATTAAATTGGAAACTTCCAAAATTAAAATTGGGAACATTCAAACTCCGATTACAACAAACTTATAGTCTAACTGAGCGTCTCGGAAATACAAACCCAACGACATCAAATTCGCCTAAATCCGAGCCCAAATGAGTCCAAATCAAGGGTTAGAAGCACTGTTGGAAGGTTTGAACAGAAATTTGGATTACCAAACTATCTCTAAACATAACGAGCTTATAGTCGAATCGAGCGGCTCGACGAGATGAATCCAACGAGCCCAAGATCACTGAATTCTGACGCCAATTAGACATTCAAATGTCCATCAAACGGTGCATGATCAAGGGATTCAATATCGGTCGTCCATCCAACCACTCCCCATTTACCTTTGATCTCTCATCTATTTACAG